GAGCAGGGCTTCTCCAGATGAACGAAGAGATTGTGTGGGTTCGTACACAGAAATGCGATCACGCAGGTAGGTGGGTCCCAAATGGTTTAAGATTGGCTTTGAGCCCATCTTTAAATCTGCCCACCTACATTCCATTTTCCGTTCTTGAGTTTGGAGTAGCGCAACTACTTTGGGAGACAGTGGTCGGGCATTCAGACAACGTGGCCAGTCCAGCGGAGTTGATGGCAGAGGACCATCGCTTCAATGCTCACTGTCTTTGCTTCTTCCAACACACTGACATCCGCCTGTCTTCCAGAGAGATTTGTAGGATTTTTCAGAGGCAGCTCTGATGGAATCGTTCCACGAGTTGCATGTGACATCTGTAGACAGTCCACGTTTCGCAGGCGTATAGCAGGGTTGGGAGGACAATGGCTTAAAAACAAGCACCTTGGTCTCCCTACATATGTCCCGGTTGTCAAACACTCTTGGCTTCATTCAGAAGAATGCTGCACTTGCAGAGCTCAGGCGGTGTTGTATTTCAGTGTCAATGTTGACTTTTGTGGGAGCGGAAATAGGGCCTCTTCGAGGAGAAGATGGGGCAATGCTGACAGGGGGTAGGGAAAAGGCAGAACTACTTAATGCCTTCTTTGCCTCGGCCTTCTCACAAAAAGAAAGTCATCTTCAACCTCAGCAAGATGGAGTGGATGAGGGATTAGAGGACATCCAACCCCAAATTGGGAAACAAGTCGTCCAGGAATACCTGGCCGCTTTAAATGAGTTCAAGTCCCCAGGGCCAGATCAACTACACCCAAGAGAATTGAAGTAACTAGCGGAAGTCATTTCGGAACCATTGGCAACCATCTTTGAGAGTTCTTGGAGAACGGGAGAAGTTCCAGCAGATTGGAGGAGGGCCAATGTGGTCCCAATCTTCACGAAGGGAAAAAAGGATGACACAAACAACTACCGTCCGGTCAGCCTCACGTCAATACCAGGTAAGATTCTGGAAAAGATTGTTAAGGAAGTGGTCTGCAAACACTTAGAAACAAATGCGGTCATTGCTAATAGTCAACATGGATTTATCAAAAACAAGTCATGCCAGACTCATCTGATCTCTTTTTTCGATAGTTACAAGCTGGATAGATGCGTGGAATGCCGTGGATGTGGCGTACCTGGATTTCAGTAAGGCCTTCGACAAGGTCCCCCATGACCTTCTGGCAAGGAAACTAGTCCAATGTGGGCTTGGCAAAACTACGGTGAGATGGATCTGTAATTGGTTAAATGGACGAACCCAGAGGGTGATTCTCACCAAGGCTTCCTCTTCATCCTGGAAAGAAGTTACAAGTGGAGTGCTGCAGGGTTCGGTCCTGGGCCCGGTCCTGTTCAACATCTTTATTAATGACTTAGATGAAGGGCTAGAAGGCA